ATAATTGTCACTATTGATTTTAGTGATGTGAATCCTAGAACATTTTATCAAAGGAAGGTTTTTAAATCTATAGTTGGGAAACATGGCTTGAAAAAACAGTCCTGGGTGCCTGTGTGATTAAGCATCTGACTCTTGGTTTCAGCTCGGGTCATGATCTCACAGTTCATGGGTTCAGGCCCTGAGTTGGGCTCCTCACTGATGGTGGGGAGCCTGCTAGGGATTCTCTTTCTCACTCTCTTTCTGCTCCGCTCCTGCTTACTCCCTCTCTCTCTCTCTCAAAATAAATAAACAAACCTGAAACAACCAGTCCAGATTTACTTTTATGAATAGTGAAGCAGCTTACCATATAAGAGGAAACTAATGGGATGTTTTCTTTTCTTTTTCTTTTTTTCCCCATGTCAGCAAGTACAGCAAAACCTGAAGAATTCAGGTGAGTAGTGTCTTACAACTTAGGAACATGTTTTAGAATTCATGTAGTTGCTGTCATTAATTAAACAAATACTTGTTGAAGACCTGTCAACGTATTAAGTTGTTCCTTAGCATTGGGAATATAGCAGGGAACAGATGTAATGCCAGATAAAATTGACAAAGCAGTTTAGAAATAAAGACTGGGTTGGGGGGTGGATATACTATTTATAATGAGAATGACCTACATTTGTTATTGGCCTGTGACTGAGGATATAAAGATGAATAAATTAGGATTCTTGCACACAGGGAGCTCAAAGAACAAAGTTTTATTTGCAGATAAGCAATTAATTTTATTCCTGGTGTAACCCCCACTTTGTCATGGTGTATAATTCTTTATATTACATGTTGCTGGATTTGGCTCACTAACGTTATGCCATCAGTGCAGAGCCCATGCGGGGCTTGAACCCACGAACCACGAGATCATGACCTGAGCCAAAATTAAGAGTCAGACTCTCAACTGACTGAGCCACCCAGGCACCCCTCCTCATTCATTTCTAATTTTAGTAATTTGAGGGTCCCCTCCCCATCCCCCCCACCTTGGTTAGTTTAGGTAAAAGTTTGTCCATTTTGTAGGCTGTTTCAAAGAACCAGCTTTTGGTTTCATTGATTCTTACTCATTTTTCAAGTTTATTGATTTTCTCTCTGCTATATTATTTCATTTCTTATGCTTGCTTTAGGTTTAGTTTGCTTTTCTTTTTCTAGTGTCTTAAGGTGGGAAATTAGGTTATTTGAGGTCTTTATTCTTTTTTAACGTAACATTCATTGCTATAGATTTTCTTCCAAGCGCTGCTTTAATCACATTCTGTAAGTTTGGTATGTTGTATTTTCATTTATCCCAAATTATTTTCCTGTTTCTCTTGATTTCTTCTTTGACCCGTTGGTTACTTGGGAATGTGTTCCTTGATTTCCACATATTTGTGAATATCTTAACTATTCCTCTCTTATTTTTTTTTTGTGTGTGAGTGCTTTTATTCCACATGGTTAGAGAACATACTTTGTATGATGTTGATCCTTATAAAGAAACTTGTTTTATGGTTTAGCCTATGGCTTATTCCAGAAAATGGTCTATATGCACTTGAGAAGAATGGATATTCTGCCGTTATTGAATGTTATGTTCTGTAAATGTCTGTTAGGTCTACTTGGTGTAATACTGCTCAGGACTTCTATTTCATTGTTAACCTTTTTGCTAATTCTATCCATTATTAAGAGTAAGGTTGTGAAACCTCCAGTTACTGTTGCTTAGTTGTGTATTTCTCTCTTCCAATTCTTTCAGTTTGAGGCTTTTGTTAAGTGCATATATATTTATAATTGTTTGACTCTCTTATGATAAAATGTCACTCTTTTTCTCTAATTTTTTTGTTTTATTTTTTAAAATTATTATTATTGATTTTAACATGGCCTCAAGTTTATTGAAATCATCAATATCCCAGGCGCATTTACCATTTTAAAAAATCAATTTAATGCTATCAAAAGGTGATGTTCGATTTAATCCTGTTTGTCTTCACGCCACTGTCGTGAGCCTTCATTCCAGGCCACATAAACAAAAGGACCAACACCACATGGATGATGACCACCGCAACAATAGCAGCATAAAAATAGCTGTCCTTATTGGACATCCCAAAGGCGCCTTCAAAAGCATAAGATTTAGTCGTGAAATACAACCCACGAGGTACAGGGATCATTAAAGCTGTGAAGAACAGGAGCGTCTTCAGGGTAGATGCTAATAAACTTTCATTTTTTTCTTTTTTCTTTTTTTCTTTTTTTAACATTTATTTATTTTTGAGAAACAGATAGAGCACAAGCAGGGGAGGAACAGAGAGAGAGAGAGAGAGGGAGACACAGAATCTGAAGCAGGCTCCAGACTCTGAGCTGTCAGCACAGAGCCTGACGTGGGGCTCAAATTCACGGACCATGAGATCATGACCTGAGCTGAAGTCAGTCACTTAACCAACTGCGCCACCCAGGCACCCCTGAACTTTAATTTCTGAAGTTGGGCGGCTGTAGTGCATTTAGCGCTGCTTTGTCAAGGTGCTCCATGGTGCAGCCAAGTCTACAGCAGGTGATCGGAGGCAGCGGGGCTCAGCAACCGCACTGGGTCTGCTCGACTGAAGGCCCACAAAAGCATGCCACGCTGGATGTGCCCTTTAGTAATTTTTTTGTTTTGAAGTTTGATACAAGTATTGACAGTCCAGTTCTCTTCTGGTTGCTTTTCTCTCTCTTTTTTTCTTTTTGTTTTTTAAATGTCTGACTTTATTTTTTATTATTTTTTAAGGGAGAGAGAGAGTGCATGTGTGAATGAGTGGGAGAGGGTCAGAGGGTTAGGGAGAGAGACTCTTAAACAGGCTTCACAACCAGCGTGGAGCCTGTTGTGGGGCTCAGTACTATGATCATGAGATCATGACCTGAGCCAAAATCAAGAATTGGAAGCTCAACCAACTGAGCCACCCAGGGACCCCTCTTCTGGTTGCTTTTCCCTGGTATATTATATTTATCAAATTTGGGAAGTTCTCAGCGATTATGTCTTCAGATTATCTTTTTGTTCCTTCCTTTCCTCTTCTTCTGGGACTCCCATTACATGCACGTTGCTACATTTGATGGTGTCCCACAGGTACTGGAGTCTCTGTTCATTTTTCTTCATTCTTTTTCTTTCTGTTACTTAGAAATAGATCATTTCATTTGACCTGTCTTCAAGTCATTGATTCTTCAACCTGCTCAAACCTGGTGTTGTGTTCTTTCAGTGAATTTTTAAATTTCAGTTCTTGTACATTTAACTCAAGAATTTCTGTTTGATTCTTATGTGTAAATTCTCTGTTTAATGGTATTATCTTTTTTTATACACTTTGAAATACTTTCATTTTTTTTTAAGGTGTATTTATTTTTGAGAGAGAGACAGCATGCACATGTGAGTGGGGTAGGGCCAGAGAGAGAAGGACAGAGGATCTGTAGCAGGCTCTGTGCTGACAGCAGCCCAATATGGGCTCGAACTCATGAACCATGAGATCATAACCTGAGCCAAAGTCAGACACTTAACTGACTGAGCCACTCAGATGCCCCCAAGAGATATTTTCTTTTTATGGAGACAGTGTTTCCAACTTACTTTTTTAGATTTGGTTTTTTCGTTCTTGAACATCTTTAAAATAGCTGATTTAAAGTCTGGATTGCCTGAAGAGAGCTCTGTCTTCTTGGCTGCACTCACGTGAAGTAAAGCTTCCACCACATTGAACTTGGGGGAATGGGGAAGGGGAGCAAATTGTGGCTCAAATGCCAGACTCAGCTCTGAGATTCAGTAGATTTCCTTGAATAAATGGTTTATTCACTGATGTATGCTTTTTAATGATTGTTTTTTTAATAATTTTCACCAGCTAAAATGTTTGTTTCACAGGCAGGAAGGGTCCTCAAACCACCATTCTAGAAGTCCTACTTTTGATGACTCAATTTTAATAGTGTATATTACAGTATATAGTTTCATTTAATGCTTTTCAACTATTATTATGTGCCAGTCTCTTGGAGTGTCTCAGATTCAGGACGTACTTGTAAATCTAATTAACTCTTTTGAACTTGTCTACTCTTATATGGCAGATGTGTGACTAGAGCTTCTTCAGAAGTAGAAATTATTTGTTGTGGGGTGCTGAGTATGACCAGCCTCTCCTTGAGATGTCCTATTCAGTTTTTCCCCTTCCTTCCACACTTAGAAAGCCATTAGAGTCAGGCTGATTAGTGATTCACCATAAAAATACTCTGCTTCTTGAATAAGGATTCTTCTGATGTTTCTTTAGCTGTCAGTAGGTTATTAAATATAAATAAATGAATAGAGTAAGGAGGAAGTAAGTGATTTTCTCTATTGTGAATTTTTAATTAGGTAAAAAACAATTTTCTGCTTTTTGTGAGTTGTACTTTTATTTTCATTGTAGTTATTTATAAGCTATGCTTTTAAGAAAGATGATGGAGCAATGTTAGAGGCATTCTATACTTTTTAAACTATTTTATTTGTTTTTTGTTTAATGAATCATGTCTTACTTAACCTGAAAAAGAGGCTAGTACAGCATATTAGAGCTTAAAATAAAGATGACAACCTAGTGAATTTAGCAGAAATGTAAAAGTATTCAAGCAATAATATATAGTTGAAATTAAGGTTTTTATTTGCAAGAATTTATCCTTCTTTAAAATTTTTTTGAAATACACGTTTCTGACCCAAAACTTGAGTATAGCTTTATAATCTCTTTCCTAGAATTTAGATTAATGTAATGACAAAATTTTCTTTTCTTTCCTTGAATAATGCTTTTGGCTCTGGAAACTGCACCAGAAATGGGATACTTAAATAATGATATTTTATTGTTATTATTTTTTGTAATAAGCTTTTAGAAATTAAATGTAGAGGGGGACCCTGCTCTCCTGAAGGTTATTTACCAGTCTACGTAACACTGCTTGAGAGGACCTGAGTTTGGACTGGCATGAATACCCTTTCATTCTTGCCCTTGTAGTTCTGTTTGCATGAACAGTTTTGCTCCAGTGAACCATGGAAAACAGGACTGTTTGAAAAAGCACAGCTATTTGACCTAAAAAGCTTCTTGACCTTGTACTGTGCCTATTTGAGTAACAGGTTTTTAAATTGGCTGATGTCAGTCGTTTTCCTTGTACTATTTTATCTCCTAACTATTCCCCATGAGCCTTGACTAATATAGAGTATCCTAAGAAGAGGTGACATTTTAAAGGATAGTCCACATTGCAGTGACTGGTACTTTTTGTACAGGTTTAGCAGACAGAATCTTGAAGGTGGAAAAGAAAAGAAAAGAAAAAATGGTGGAGGAAATGATGAATACAGAGTATAGGAGCAAAAGGGGTCAGGTATTGCAGGTGTTCCTTTGAAAGGGAAAACTGGGATAAGGTCAGTAATGAGAAGTGTTTCACTTTTATATTAGTGGAAGTGAAAGAATGTAATTATGAGAAAATAGTGCTTTCTACGTTTCAAATTTTTAGAAACCAGGAACTATGATCCAGTTAAGATCACTTATTATAAGTACTTTTTTTAATGTTATTATTCATCTTTATTCATCATCTGCTGGAGTTATTCTCACTTAAAGAAAAAGCTTCAAAGAGTAACCAAGGGGATCATCCAGCCAAGCAGGTTGGATGAGATTTCATAATATTTGGGATTATGGTTACTTAAACCAGCATAATGTGTTCTGGGAACAGTAGCATTAGTCAAAAGAAATCGTACCTGACAAGTATATACTTTACGATTGTCTTGACAAAAGTTACACACCAACTAGTATTTTTTTTAAAGCTTTTTTTCATCAGTTTTATTTGTGTTTTGCTAATATTAATGCATTTAATCCTCCTGTAACAGTTTCACGCAGATGAAGAACCTTAAGTTTAGAGAGCAGAACTAGCTACTGGTAGTGGCGCGGCTTGAATTTGAACCCAGTCAATGCTAGTGCAAGTTCTGGTGACTCAACTTGTAATGGAGATGTAGGTAACAAAATGATAAGCTATAAAATGGGTTCACTTTTCATTATCTAGTCTTTTAGCAAGGGCTCTTCATTCTTTAGATCTTTTCTTAATTTGTTGCCTTTCATCAGATAGTGTTTGTTTTCTTCTCACCCCTTTAAGAAAGGCTCTTAGATATTGTATTAAGAGTTTGGTTTGAGAAGCTTTGCGTGTTTCCTTTTACTAGAATGACATTGTGGCTTGGTATGATACTGAGTATTGCTATGGAGAAGTCTATGCCAGCCAGATACTGGCAGTGATTTCCTTTTAATTTTCTTGGGGTACCTTAAGTATTCTTTCCTTAGCCTTGAAAATCAGTATTTTAATAATAATGGGTTGAATGCATTTAACTCTGTATCTCATTTTCCTGGGACATAGTGCTCTTGTTAAATCTGTAGATTATTTTCTCACTTTCAAGGAATTTTATGCATATATTTGTATGTAAACATATACACATACTCACATGTATGTATGTAAATATATATACACACGCATACATCCATATATATGTGTGTGTATATATATGTATACACATACATACATACGTACATTATTTTGAATATATTTTTCAGTTGCCTTAGTTGAATTCTTTACCTCATACATGCAAGTATGCTTATGTTAGATGTTGGAAAGTGTGAAGTTAGTAAACTCTTTTTTTTTCCCTCGTTTTGTTGTGATAATATGTCATTTTTGAGTTATTTTATTGAATTTTTTTTTAAGTTGCTCTGAGGTTTGTTTTTATTTTGTTATAGATTGGAGTTTTTATTTTTTTATTATTTTTTTTTAATGTTTATTTATTTTTGAGACAGACAAGCAGGGGAGGGGCAGAGAGAGATGGAGACACAGAATCTAAAGCAGGCTCCAGGCTCTGAGCTGTCAGCACAGAGCCTGATGCAGGGCTTGATCTCATGAACTGTGAGATCATGACCTGAGCCAAACTTGTTCACTTAACCAGCTGAGCCACCCAGGCACCCCAAGATTGGGGTTTTTAAGTGCTTTTGGGGGGGAAGGGATAGAGCAGGGAAAATGAGTACAGCCTAAGCTAAAAATTTAAAGACACATTTATAAGTTATTTGGAGCAGAAAGTATACAGAAAGGTTTCTAATTTTAAGTTTGTACTAAGGTCTTTTGGGTTATAAAATGCTGAGCTGTTGATGACACTGGAAGATCTTGTGAGAGGGTGTGAATATACAAAAGAAGTGGCACAGATAAGTTCATGTGGATATTTGTGCTTAATGCCTTGAATTTAAGGAATCATTTGTGCTGCTCTTCATTTTGCTATCTTTGACAGATCCTGTCCAATGAATAAGATTAGTAGTGAACTACGTATTTAAAGCACAGTTAACATACAGGTATATACAAATCTCAAATGAGCAGATCATAGAAAAACAAGTGTTTGTCTACGAAAGCAAATGTTTTCTGAGCATCTTACATTCTTAGTTTTGGAACCAACAGTAATTTTTTCTTTATTTGCAACAAAACAATCAGTGTCTTTAAAAATAAAGCTACTTTCATTAGTATATGTGTTATCTTACAGTGTGAAGCCCTAGAACTTTATATATGGTTTTTTAATAGATGTTTTTCCCCATTACAGTGTTCACAATAATGTTTCCGCTCAGAGTAATGGCTCCCAACAGGTAAGATCATCTTAAGCTTCTAAAGCACTAGAACACTGTAGTTAATTATGACATATAGTGGTATTATTAATTGAATTTTCATAGTGGTATAACTTCAGGAAAGTTTTGTGTGTTTTTCTTATCTGTAAAGTGGCTCAAAAATGAAACCCTCTGTTATTTTATTATCTATGATGTTATAAATGGGACAGGTATCCTATAGAACATTTTCTGTTCCTGTAAATCCTATAAAATGAATAAGACACTGATAGATTATTATTTATCTCTTTTAGACATAGATCTTTTAGATAGATTATTGTTATCTCTAAAGTAGTCTATAACATTCAAGCATTTGTTTACACTTTATTTGTTCAATATGTAGATAGTATTCCATTTTAATGTTCTGTTTATAGGTGACGAAGTCTTTTATGTAAGTAAAATAGATGATTTTTATAATTTCTGTCCAAAGGCTTGGGCTGTGAAATCTACTCTACCTGTGGTTCCTTCTGTTCCCTCTGGTCCTGTGCTGGCAGAGATAGAGAATCTTCCAAGGAATCCTGGAACAGACCAGCATGACAGGAAATGGTTTGTTAACTCCTTAAACCAGAATAAAATGTTACTTGCTTAATGTATTCTAAATTCCCAACCCATAATCTTAGAACACGTTAAATGATTGAAAGCAAATTATTCATATTTGTAAGCTGAACAGAAACATATTATTGAACAGTCAGAATGGAATTGGGAAAACAAGGGATATAAGTGAAGAATGGAATGCAGTTATTTAATTGAAAAACATTGGTCAGCTCTCCTTATTTTGGTTAGTATGATTGGGAGACTGATGGCTGGTTCTCTGTTTGAAACGACTTCAGTGCTAGTCCAGTAGAACCTTTTCCGGATCCATAAAGAAAATGTGTTTGCTATATGTTATTCCACACAACATAACGCTACTGTTTTGGATGAGCTTTTTCATTAGAGACTGAAGATAAAGCCAAAAGGGAAACATGATTCTAATCTAATAAAGCATGAAATACTCCATTTTGGGGATTGGAGAGAGAATCTGATGACAGAGAAGATCTTTCATTTGCTTAGATTTCCAGGGTCTTTTTTTAGATTCATACACAAATATGAATACTTTGTGGCTTATTGGACTGTAATCAGTAGGGTTTGTTGTTTCCCAAATAAATATATGTGGCTTGGAGGGTTCGTAGGGAATTATTTGATTAAGTGGTCATGTTGGTTGCATCATCTGTTCAAGTTGTATGTCTGTGAAATGAACCTTGATAATTTATAGGATTTTTCTCTTTTTTTCTCTTGCTCTTAGTTTATTTATACCTGAAATCTAATGAGTTTCTGTGGTGATCTCAAGGTTTTGGTCAGCTTTCTGTGCAACCAGTTCTTCCTTCATGGTGGTGGGTCAACAGTGGTTGGTGATTATTTTCAGTCTTTGCTATGTAATTGTTTTTCACTGTTATTTTGGCTTAACTAACTTGCAAGGTGCTTTGCTCTTCATGGTTGGGCATATTTTTACCTCAGTTCCAAATAATTTGATTACTTTCTGAGATTGAGGGAATTCCCCCCCCCCCTTTTTCCCCCCTTTTCCTTTTACCTGAGAGTGTGGTAGGAGAACTTTGTGTATGTGTGTGCATGTGGACACACACTTCAAGTATAAACAGTGAGGCTTCTAAATATCAGATTTTAGTCTTTATTTTTTTAAGCCATTAGAAACAGTTCTTCAGTTTCTTGCTGAACACACAGCTCCAGTAAGCAGCTATGTTTTATTGCCTTGATATTAACACCAAGTCTGTTGGCAAGGAAACCAGTACTGAGACTTCAAACTATAAAAGAACTGCCTTAATACATGCTTACCTTTTATACTAATATGGAATGAGAGTCTGGTTTTTTTGTTTTCTGGTGTTTTTTTTTTTTTTCATACTATATTATGACACTAAATCTTTATTGAGTTTTCTGATTTTCATGGGCACATATTTAAATCTGTTTAATTTGATTCATTAGGCCCTAAGTTCCTTTGATACAACCTTTAGAAATAGACAATACTGAATCTGAGAGTATTGAATTTCAAGGGAAATGAAAAATTTGGAGCTATGTGTCCTTCCTTCATTTACTTGTGCTGAGACCTCCTTTGCTGAAATGGAGTAAAATGATGATCCTGAAAACCTAATGAGTCTCAGTGTATGTCAGCAGTGGCGTGGAACTGAATACACAACTGATCTGTTTTGGAGCTAATGGATTCCCCAGCCTGAATTTAAAGTGCATTTTCTATTTCACTTTTTGTTTCTGCATGCTTTGCTTGTTATTAATGCTTTTAAGTGAATATAAAACAGTCCTCCTTTAGAAAGTGATAAGTTAATAAAATTTGGAAATGCTCCCTAGATTTGAACAATTGGGCAGAATAATAGACTATAATCAGGTAAATTTTAACCATTTTAATCTAAACCTACTTCACATTCAGTTCTTTAGCTGTCTCTTGCTAGTATGTTCTAAATGGCACCATTATTTCAGTAAATGATTTGATAATCAGTAATGTAGATATTTAGAGTCTTGATTATTTAGAGTATCACCTTTTGAGAAACAGTTTATGTATTTTAAACCCATTAAACCATTTATAAACAACAAAAACAAAATCGAATAATATTTGCGAAATCTTGCATATATTGGGGAGAACATAAACCTAATTTAATGTCCTAAGTTTTCAGAGTCTGTGTGTTGAGGGTCATGAATTTTATGGGATAGATTTGATGAACAAATTGTATATCAGTTGAAGAAAAGATGATTTTGTTGTAAAAAAAAGTTCAAATTTATTCTAAAATCCTTTTAGCTAATTTCTTTTCAATTTCCCTAAGGAAAGAAAGGTGAAGATTCATGTTTCAGTTGAGTTAGAAAAGTGTTGTATTTAAAAGTCTAGTTTTAGACCTCTTTTATAATTGGGATGATTTTTTTTTTTCTTTGTAATTGTCTTAAATATGTGCTGCCCTTATTGCTGTGTTGAAAAACCTTGATCTTCTGAACCGTGACAAATGTTTTCTTTCTACTGGAGGACTCTGGTTATTTCTAACCAGGAACTGCTTGTATGCATGCTTCATTCTCATAGTTCTGCAGGTCTATTCTATAGCACTGTGTGATAAAAGGTTTCTTAATATACTTACTAAACTGTTCCTTGGAGGGGCTTTATAGTCTCATCACATTATCTGTACCTGTTGAATTTTATTCTGAGGTCCTGTGGACTTTGATTTTAGAAGGAATAGTAATTCTCCATTGTTAATTGGAAACATTGATGTACAATTACATGGCCTCTGAATGTAGTTGTGGAATTTTGTTTCCTGAGTTTCAGTTTTGTGAAATCCCTTAATTTGGGGAATAATTCTCACAGTTGCCCTTTTCTATGTGTGCCTTTATCCGTAATTTAGAACTGGCCTTGTATTTTATTATTTTTTAAAATGTTTATGTATTTATTTGGCGGGGG